GAAGTCCCACTATACCGCCAATATCAAACTCACTAAGTTGACGCAATCGTACAGGTCTCCATACTCTAGGCATCGTAACCGATCGTAAAGGATGTCAAGAACCAAAATCCGAAAACGTTGATTCTTTACTGCGGCTGAAATAGTCATTTTTAGAGCGTTAGTGAATTAAAAAAAAGCAGTATAAGAACCGAAATGTCCAACTGATAAGGCTGAAAATTGTTTCACTTGTTATTTATATTAAAATAAAACCATTTAAACTGAGTGTTCGGATTTATATGTCACGTAGTATATTTGACATTTGCAAAACGAAAAATATCGATTTCAATTTCTAAAAGCGTAAGGATATATACAGGGTGGCGCATTGAAAACGAAACATACGCATTTACTGGCAGCTCAGTTTTTTTTCAAGACCCGTCGATTTTGATTTCGAGGGGGACACAAAATCTTAAATGGAAAGGGGGGTCGAGTGATACCTTATTTTAAAGGTCTCTCAATTCCCTTTATAATGATATAAAATTAATGTACTTCAGTTCAGTAATTTTGAAGATTTATTGATTTAAAGCTTAAATAAAACTAATACATCATCATTAGTGGAGATCAATACATTTGGCAGCAAAGTAATTTAAAAATGAAGAATGAACTGATCCGTTAGGCAAGTAAATGTTGAAAATGACCACCATGACTCTCCATGCAATAATAGAGATTTAGGTCAATACGTTGCGACACATTTTGCAATATTTGAGGAGTAATTTGGAGGCACTCATTCACAATTCTTTGTCGTAGGTCTTCTAATTATGTTGGCTGAGTAGCATAGATTTTGCTTTTTAAATGACCTCATAAATAAATCAAAGGTGATAAATCTGGCGATCTTGGGGACCATTCAATGGCACCTCCTCTACCAATCCATCGATCTGGAAGCGTCTGATCTAAATATTGTCGAACACGTAATTCGTAATGTGGTGGGGCACCATCCTGTTCGTTCCTCATGGGATTTTCAATGTTACGTTTTTTATTGGCGACTGACCCAGTTTCCCGAAATTTAGCTACAAGTTATAGATCATATTTCCGATGCACGTTACTGTTCTCATGTCGCTCATTAAATATTTCTGCTGTTCTATTAGCACACTGATTATTCCCGATAAATATTTCGATAATTTCAACTGCTGTGGAATATACCATAGTTAATTTATGCAATAAAGCGTCACAAGTTATTTTAGCAGCAAAGTTTGGTCAAATCAATCGCAAACCATGCACTAAATTTTTATTTAAAATAAGTACGAGATATTTCCTTATCTTTCTTCAAGAAATAACTTTTTTGCCACAAAAAACGCTCCAATAGCTATTTTCAACAACAAAATGATAAACAAACCATGGGCGTAGTGAAAAAAAGCATTTACTTATTAAGTAAATTCTTTTAGTCAATTTTTTTCTGAAAGTAGTACAAACTATGTGTGTACCTATTAAAGCCTACTTTAAGCTTTAAATCAATAAATCTTCAAAGCTACTGAACTGAAGCTCATGTATTATACATCATTATAAAGCGAATTGAAAGACCTTTAAAATAAGGTATCACTCGACCCCCCTTTCCATTTAAGATTTTAGGGTTGGTGTCACCCCAGCCCAGGGGGCTGCACGTGTTAACGTGATTTTTTGCCAAACTTGTGTCCCCTCGAAAACAAAATTGACGGATCTGAGCATTTCTCCAAAAAAAAACTGAGCTGACAGTAAATGCGTCTGTTTCATTTTCGATGCGCTACCCTGTATATAAATAATATAAGTCCAATTTAAAAACATATATATTTTTATTTTTAATATGAAACGCTGAAAGCACTATCGGCCATAATGTGACGTTATACGAATTGTAAACAAAGAAATGTCATTCGTACGTCACTCGTAGACTAATGTTGTCTTTTTTAAGCATATCTGGAAGATTCGCAATCAAGGTAACGAGTTATCATTTTGTAGTTTTATGGAGAAAGCAATCATGGTCGTCCGATTCGTAAAAGCAAAAAGCACAAATTTGGCGAAAATTTACACATTTAGAGTTGTTATTTTTTTATATATATTTATAAATAGGAAGAATAAATAATACACTCACATAATCTTTCTCTTCAGAAGTCATTTAAAATTAAGCTCATGCATCATAACCTCTGAGAAATTTTACTTAATATTATATTTCTTCTTCCACATCTGCAAGGGTGTCGTACTGTGATGACGCCGTAGGTGACGTCCAACTCAAACGGGGCGATAAAATCTGCACTTAAGAATGTAAAATATGTCCCGAACATAAGGTTGCTGCAGACAATACACAGTGTTGCGTATATTTATTTCCCTGGGCACTCTAATCCACAGCTTCCCTGAGGTCTTTATAGATGTGTTTTTACATTCTCGAACAATACAATAATGATAATTACTATATTATTCATGTGAACAAGTAAAAGTCATGTTTATTCGTTCAAAAGTTTGAGAGTTTATGCTGCTTTCAACTGCTATTTACAAATTGTACGACGTCAGACAACATTAATAAATGGGTCAAATATGTCGGGACAGCGTGTTTGATTGTCTAAGAAAACTACATTATTAAATTAAAGTTTTGCGGCGTTTTGAGCGTGAAAACAATTTAGTATTAAGTTTTTGGTCTAGTAGGATAAATATTAACTATTTAAGACCTACTTAAGACAGTATCAACTAGCCTATTACTTGACGAAGAAAATCTTTCAATGATAACTGGACATAGGATATCCTTGGTTCCAGAGATATAAGATGAAAATCATTATTCCCTTTTTGATCAAACATGCATTTTCCAAACATTGAAGAAACTTTTAACTGATGTGAGTTATTTTATAAGTTACAGGACTGTACATGTGAGATAATTTCTAGACTTAAACCAGCCTGCTTTTATTTACTAGCTAGTGTTTACTAGAAGCTAACATACACATAGGTATGATAATGGTGTCTCTATAGCAACTACAAGATCAGAGTCCAAAATAAAATATTGGCCAGCAGAAAACACTCTTTCAAGAAATGAATTTTTCCATATTTTTCCTTGAAAATCCCCAGCATTTTCAGCCCGGAGCAATATTCAAGGGAAATATGAAAACACCGAGTGGCCAATCAAAGCGGCAGAAGACTCACATCGATGTCAGACGCCCTTTCCCGGGAAACATTCTCATAAACCGGTACGATTTATTGAATATAATTTTCATATAACAGCGGCCCAGCCTCGCCTTCTATAAAATTTGTATAATCCAGCAATTCATATATTTGCCGAATGAACATCTAAGGCTTTTAGGGACAGGCAATTTCCGTCGGATCAACCAAGCCTCCTTCTCACCAAACAGTGGCATGGTTGATGCTGACGAGAACGAGGCATATATTTGTACATTCCTAGAAAAAATAGTTTACTAAACTAAGAGCCAGTGTCACTTCTCAATTTCTCAATCTAAAGTTGGGACTACAGAGCGTATAGGTCAGGCAATAATATGTACTTTTTCAGTAACATATATACCAAAACGTATGATGTACTCAGAAATGTGAGTCTGTATCCAAACCCCGTGACGTCTAAGTAAGCCTAGTTTATAAACAAATTGGCACATTCCTAGAGCAATAACGTAGTTACCTATTTGATATGAGCATCTGCAAGATCTTATTGATGCTCCGCGAGTGTACTCAGAATGTCGCCGTCGTCCTCAATGTTTACTTCCATCGGAGCTGCATATGTTTGTTTATATCGTGAAGAGCTGCCTGGTTGAATAAAGTTGAAGACCTAGACAGCCCCAAACGTTGCAAATTTTGGAAAATGCAAGCAGTGTAATACATGTGATATGGCGGTACTTGAAATTCCATACCAAATGAAGCATTCTTCTTCAATTCCTTTTTTACGTTATCAGTGTTGTTTTGTCACAGATTAGCTTTGGTATTTCAAACGAAAAGGAAAGTCTCAACTTTCAGGACACTCTGTCTGACGCAAGCCGGATAAGAGATAACCTGTGAATTTTGCGTTAGGTGGTGTGCCCGGTTTTCCAATAGCATTTCTATTTGATTAAGACTGTAGTCAAAACTTTGTTTAAGAAACTTGAATTTTTTGATATTTGACATCTTTTGGGTCACGTATGCATGTATGACGAACGACTGCAAGTAGGTTGACCCTTTACCTCCCAGGCAACACCGTTATCAGTTCGTATAGCATTAAGTTCAGCACAAGCTGGACCCTCTTAAAAAAAAGCCAGCTGCGAGCACTTATAATAGTACAACTGAACGGACCAAGTCAGTCAGTCAGACTTATCTAATTAGTCCATGAACATCCTTTCCTTACCCTACCAGTAGTACCGTCAATCTGGCACCGTCGCCCTTCCCCGATACCTGACCGCGTGACTCGTCAAACGCGGCAGCGCGGTAATGCCAGAACACTTATCAAGCCCACCAGTTAACTGACGGCAGAAGCTGGGACGTGTGTCGAAAGTTGTTCAAAGTGCAGCTCTACGAGGAAATCTAGTGTGAAAATGTCATCCAAATGCGAACGCTACTTTCCAAGTAGACAAGCCAAAAGCCAGCGGACAGACTCACAGACTCATCGACGAAAATGTTTTTTCGTGATGAAAATGTCATATAACATCCAAAAAACTTAATATCTCGTTTTCAATTTCTTTGCAATTACGATACCTCATTGCTAGTAGGCATAGGAAGCAACATATGGTTTTTGTGCTCGGAGATTTTGTAGCAGTTTTAAACAATATGTCGCTTTTTATGCTTTAAGTTAACATAAAGCTATTTTTCAGTAAATATTATCTGGAGTAATTCGGGAATTAATGTTTAAATATTTTCTCTTTTCTTAGCACAACCTTTTTTCCTGACTTGCAAGATTTTCCAATAATTTATTTTTGTTTACTGCTTATACGAGGGATGTCTTTTAAGTTTTGCATATGGAAATAAAACAACACCCTAGGTAGTTTTAAACGGCTTTATTGTTTTCCGAAGTATTCTCCACGAAGATTAATACATATCTGCATGCGCTCGAACCAATTTTCAAAGCACTTATTCCACTCGTTTGATGGCAGATCCAAAACGGTATTTTTGAATGCGTCAACTGCTTCTTCTGGTGACTGGAACCTTTGACCACGCAGTCTGTTTTTAATTTTCGGGAAAGTAAAGAAATCGTTAGGACTTACTATAGATAGAGACTATAAGGAGGATGGTCCAATAATTCCACGTTTTCTTCCGTTAAATACTGCCTTGTTCTTTGGGCTGTGTGCGAGCTTGCATTGTCTTGGTGGAGGATGATTCTTCTTTCGGGGTTCATTTTTCGAAGCTCGGTGATGACTTTTGGCAAACAAATGGTAGTATACCAATCCGCAGTAACAGTTCTTTGCTCTTTAAGAGGAATTGTGGCAATATGACCCGCTTTTGACATAAATGTCGGGACCATCTTTTACGAAACACTTCGAGAACGGATGACTTTTGTTGGCTTTTCTTCACGTTGGAACACCCAAACAGCCGACTGTCATTTATTTTCTGGTTCATAACAGTAAATCCACGATTCATCACCACTAACGATGCTGTACACATTTTTTGAGTTTCCGGAATTGAAACGGTCATGCGTTTTTTGACACCAATTAACCCTGGCTGCTTTCTGCTCTTCAGTCAACAGGTGGGGTATCCAACGAGAAACTAATTTTCTTACTCCGAATTCTTCATGTAAATTTTTTTAATTGAGGTCTTTGAGATCTACGAGAACGCCTCAATCTCGCGATATGTCACACGTCTATCTTCAATGATGAGTTTGCGCACAGCATCAATGTTTTACTGGGTGACTGTCGTTTCTGGTGCACCCACCCTGGGATCGTCGCTAAGACTCACCCGTCCAAGTTTGAATTCTCCATACCAACGGGGAATTGTCGACTGATGTGGCGCTTCGTTGCCGAAAACAGACAGTAACTCAGCAAGACATTCTTGTTGCGATAATTGTCTCTGAAAGTTGTAATAAGTTATGGCGCGAAAATGTTCTCGGTTGAGTTCCATTTTTCTAATGACTTGGTGACACTTAAAAATTCACTGTAGTGAGAACGTATTGTTGTGAAACTTTGAATTTAAGTTTACTAAAGAGTGAGGTTAAGATTCAGTACTGACGTTCGATCCGCACGGCCTACTATGTTTCTATGTGCAAAACTTAAAAGACATCCCTCATATCCATGTCATGATTTTGCAAATTTTACACAGTAGACCTCATAATATTTTTTTCTGTAAAATGAGAAAAAAAAATTCAAATCGAGTCATAAACTGTTGTTCATACTTTGGTGTCGACTTTACCAAAAAGAGTATAATGGAATATTTAGCCCATGGCGACGATATACGGAGTGCAGTTATCTTTATTTAGTATCATGAACATATTGATAAAATCGACTGTAGACATCGCTCGTGCGGAGGGTGGCGTTGATGTCAAATCGCAGTCTTAAGGGATCATGCCCAGTTGAAAAATTCTTTGTTGATTTGAGCCTGAGAGTGATAGTGTAAAAATTAACATACATACGTCAACGTGATAAAATGTTGTCGTATTTTGGATATTTAGAACTTATATCCGAGAAGCATTAATTAACATAAAATTAACAACTACTTGACAGGGATACATTTCACTGACAAACCTAACTTCAAGATCGCTTTTCATTAATCAACCAATGAACAATGATGTATAACCTATATGCTTTTTGTGAGACATATTTTTATCGGCCCTCTTCAAATCCTAGCTTCGTCTAGCGAACTGTAAGCGAATAAACATCACTCAATTTGGGATACTTCAGCGTCTCAAAATATACTTCAATATCTTTTAAACTTCACGGAAGATTCCATCCAGCAGAGTTATTAACTCATGAAAATCCCAGTTATTTAATCTGCAGCATGAAAAATATAAATCAAAGGCTCGGCGGTGGCCCAACGGTATGGCGCAGTGCCGATGGCAGTAGCCAACTCGATCTAAGTGTCAGATAAATAAGAAGTAGAGGAAACGCTACGTTATATTAGAGGGTGTCATTCGCACCATAACAGGCTTGTATTACTTTTATAGCGGAACTGTAATTTTCCATCGCTTTCGCCAGGCGATGTTGCCACAGAACTAGACAAGGTGAATACGAAATTTCAAAATGCTCTGAAAACATGAGCACTGTTCAGGAAATGAATTATAACGAAAACATATTCATCAAACAACCCAATTTTTCACTACCTAATATCACTAGTTTAACACATCACAAACACATCTCTCAATAGCGGCAGCTGCTGGGAAAAAGCTGAGCTATTTGCTTAGGGCTTAGAAGTACTTGACTGCACATGACCTCCTCACTCTGTACAAGGCCTAGATAAGACCTACCCTGCCGGCCTGACTACATTATCCATGCTCGATGGTCGATGGCGCTTCTCAAACAGACAGTCTCGGGACCCTCTCGCACCGGCAGGCCGTCGGCGATCCAGCTCGTCTACCGTTATGCCAACGAGACAAGCCCACCTACCCCTGTCGAACTTCGTATGTACAGAGCTGGCCGATACGACCGCTCCATTATCACTATCCAGCTCTTCTCAGTTCTACTAACCTTAGATACTTCAAATCGGAATAACCTTGTACACCTAATGGCAACCGCGGTGTCCTGGCATTTAGCCTTCAGCCTGCGCGTAAGGTACAATATGAAGGGGTACTACTCCACATACTGGTGTCCGGGACCTAGTATCCTAGAATCTGGAGGGGCTCACACCACTATCTCAGTAGGAAAATAACTGACACGGAACACCTAGCTTTATAAAACAAAAGGTTCAATGAGTATCCTTGAAGAAGGTATGTTCCATAGGATAAAAATAACGGAGAAGACCCATATTTTTTTTTTTCAACACAATGCTGAATCACTAAGAGAAAGAGAGATACGATACGTGTGAAATTATACAATCTATAAACTACAAAATTTATCAAAAGAAAATCATTGAAAAGGGTTTGGCCTAGGAATGGACACTCTACCATTAATAAAGAGAAATTCTAATTACGAGTAACATAAGTGAGAAGGTGTTTCGAGCACGTGTGGCCACGGGCTTCACACCTAGAAGCTGGCGGCAGGCTAAAGTGGTATTCATTCCTAAACCGGGCAGAGATAGATATACTGGCCCGAAGGATTTTCGACCGATTACTCTTTCATCTTTTGTGCTTAAGACCCTGGAAAGGATAGTTGATAGATACCTAAGGGATGGCCCACTGGAAAGGTGTGTCATTCATGCAAATCAGTTTGCATACCAAGCTGGAAAATCGACTGATCTGGCCTTACACAATCTGGTCGGGAGGCTGGAGAAGACTCTAGATCAGCGAGAAGTGGCACTCGTGGCCTTCTTGGATATTGAAGGTGCATTTAATTGCACCACAACCGACTCTATCAGACAGGCCGTGGTTAGACACGGGGTTGGATCAATCCTAATAGATTGGGTCCTCTCTACTCTGGAGGGTCGGGTAACAACAGCTATGCTGAATAACGTAAGCTGCAGCGTGAACGTAGCTAGAGGCTGCCCTCAGGGCGGAGTTCTGTCACCCCTACTGTGGTGTATCGTGGTGAACGAACCGCTCGTTAGGCTCAGCAGTATGGGTGTCTACGCGCAAGCCTATGCTGATGACGTAAGCATAGTGATTAGGGGGCGTTTCTGTAGAACAGTCTCGGAAATTATGCAGGGCGCTCTGCGCTCCGTGGAATCGTGGTGTAGGGAAGTCGATCTTTCTGTTAATGCTGAAAAGACCGAGCTGATCCTATTCACTAGGAGAAGAAGGCTTGACGGACTGGTCATGCCGACCTTCTTTGGGACTAGATTAGTTTTGTCCCAGTCAGTGAAATATCTGGGAATTATCCTGGACTGCAAACTGAACTGGAGAGAGCATGTGGAACACAAGGTTAGCAAGGCTCGCAATTCGATGTGGGCTTGTAGACGTGTTGTCGGTGTAAGGTGGGGGCTTAAACCCAAAGTGGTATACTGGCTCTACACGACGATAGTACGTCCATCTATCTTGTACGGCTCCCTGGTCTGGTGGCCTTGCATTAGAACTGAGTCAACTAAGGCCAAACTCAATAAAATTCAGCGTTTGGCCTGTATTAGCATTACAAGCGCAGTGCGAACAACGCCATTGAGTGCAATGGAAGCTCTGTTGGATCTCCCACCGTTGGATCTGGTGATCCGCGGTGAAGCGAGAGTAGTCGCTCATCGACTGTGGAGTCAGGGCAGCTGGGCTTTCTTGAATCCGGTCAAGGGGCATACTGCCATCTTAGTCGAATTAGGAAGGGAGGACCCCGTCCTTCTAAGCAGGGGTGATCGTATTACCCCTAGATATCGCTTCAACCGCAAGTTTATTGTGGAGTACCCAACGAGGGAGGAGTGGGACGCCGGTAGCCGAGGACTCTCCGAAGTGAGTGGGCAGGTCTGGTACACGGACGGCTCGGTCACCGAAGAGGGCTCAGGTGCTGGGGTCTCTGGACCTAGAACTAGGCTATCTCTGCCTCTCGGTGAGTACACCACCATTTTCCAGGCGGAAATCTTTGCGATTCTGGCTTGTGTATCTCACATTCTGGAGGAGGGTGGGCCTAGGAGAAGAATAACAATCTTATCCGACAGCCAGGCTGCAATGAAAGCACTAAGTGCATGTAAGATTACTTCGAGTCTTGTATTGCAATGCAGGGAGGCTCTGGATTGCCTCGCAGCGAGGCATCCGGTATCGTTAATATGGGTACCGGGGCACGCTAGGATAAGGGGCAATGAGACGGCGGACACTCTGGCGAAAACAGGATCAGCCAGCAAGCTCGTTGGTCCTGAGCCAGCTCTAGGAGTGACCGCGCATAAAGCTAGGAGGAAAATGGAGACGTGGGTTGCAAGACAACACTCTCAGAAATGGAGAAGTATCTCTAGACATCTCCGCCAGGCACGAGAGCTCATTGAAGGGCCCAGTGCTAAGGATGGACGCTTCTGCCTATCTCTGGGTAGAGCCAACCTAAGGTTGCTGGTGGGACTGTTGTCTGGCCATAACACGTTAAGGCGGCACCTGCACGTGATGGGGGTGGCTGAGGATCCCTTGTGCGAACGCTGCGGATTAGAGGAAGAGACCTCGGCGCACGTTTTGTGTCGCTGTGAAGCTCTGAGCTACTATAGGCAGACTATACTGGGGTCCATTACTTTGGACCCTCAGGACGTAAAGGAGCTTGGACTCAAGGCGATTCTCAACTTCGCTAAAAGGGCGAGGCCTGTAATTTAAGTATTGTAGAGG